GCCCAGGTGGGTCTCAAACCTGCAGGCTCAGGCAATCCACTCACTTCAGCCTCCCAAAGGCGCGGGATTACAGGCTGAGCCACCGAGCCCGGCGCCTCCCTACCCTTGATTGAAGCTGTTTCTTCCCTTATTCTTCTAACTGTACTGCCTTCCCTTCTTCTTACATCTAACTCCTCCCCTTCCTTCAGTTCCAGCTTCTTTCTTAGCTTGTCTGACATCCCTACTTAGTTCATTTCATTCAGCACAGCCTTCTTACCGAACATCTACTGTATGCCAAGGAGTGCATAGGCCTGTAGGGGAGACACCAGGAACCAGCACTCTCCCATGTAAGCGACAGCAAAACTAAAACAAAGTAACAAGACCAGTACTAATAGCGTTCTTTTATATATTAAAATAATATGTTGACCGTGCACGGTGGCACATGCCTGTAATCCCAGCACTTTGAGCGGCAGAGGTGAGAGGATTTTCTGGGCCCAGAGGTTCAAGAACAATCTGGTCAACTTGATGAGACCTTGCTTCTCTCTATAACAAATCAAAAAATTAACAAGGTGTTGCATGTGCGCCTATAGTTCCAGCTACTTGGAAGACTGAGGTGGAAGGATCACCTGAGCCCAGCAGGTCGAGGCTGCAGTGACCATGAGCAAGCAGCTGTTAGACTCCATCCTGGGTTAAAGAGTGAGATTCTGACTCAAAAAAATAAAATAAAGTGAAATAATATATAAATTTGTTTTTTGAGTCAGGATCTTACTCTGCCACCCAGGATGGAATGCAGTGGTATGATCATGGCTCACCGCAGCCTCAGCCTCCTGGGCTCAGGAGGCTTCCCAAGAAGCTGGGACTAAAGGCACATGCCATCATACCCGGCTAATTCCTTGACTTTTTGTAGAGACAGGGTCTCACTATGTTACCTAGGCTTGTCTCGAACACCTGCGCTGAAGCAATCCTCTTGTCTTGGCCTATTACAGGTGTGAGCCATGTGCCCAGCCCCTAATGGGCAGTATTTTTTTTTTTTTTTTTGAGTTGGAGTCTCATTCTGTCGCCC